TTCAGAACACACTGCAACTTCTCGGCAGAGTTCCCAATTCATTTCATCCACCACAATCATATTCTAACAGTTTACCAATGGGAATAAAGAAAATACCAATGTTTTTCCCTAAATAAAATATTTACCAAATACAATAGAAAATGAAAGGGCAGCATGAAAAGTAGCAGCTCATTGCACAGTATATTACCATGCAATCAAAGTGATGTGATTATACAAGGTGTTCATCTTTGCCTCATGTGTTCCATTCCAAGGTTGTTTCTTTGGTGGCTCAAGTCACTTAAAAGAATGCTCTCAGAGTATGAAATGTAACTGGTCATTTTATTACATCTTGTTCTGCCCCAAATGGCACCTTCTCAACATCTCCTTCGTAGCATGAAAAGATCTTTCATCAGCTAATATGGACTAGACAGCATGTTGTCTAAAGTGAACAGAGCAGTCTTGCACACATCCCCGTTCATTCAGTTTAAATGATCAGAATGCCTAATTGAAAACCATGTTAATTTTTACGAACCTAGTCAGTCAGAAGGTCTTAGCGGGAAACGAGTTACATAGCACAATTCCTAAATTGCACCCCAAGATGGGCATGTTCCCAAGCAAGAACCTCTATGTAACTTCCTGAAGTTCTGTGCATATCTAGTCTACCCATGCATTAAGAGATGTCTGGAAAGTACTGTTTACGAAGACTTTTTATTTAGGGAGTATCTATTTATTTTCTATTATGACAATTTAAGATTTTAAAATGGAACAATAAAAGATTAACTAAATGTGATGCTCAACTCTGAAGACATCTGACAGTAAACCGTCACCTATTTCTGAGACGTAATCCTACATTCCATCTGGCATAAATCCAAATTGCACCACCCTGCATAGACACCAGGAGTGCCCTGCAATTTTGCCAAAATTATGGTTAATAAAGAAATAGCATAGTTGATGGAGACCTCATCTGATTAATGACTGTTATACAGAAACAAGCTGTTAATAATAAGACAGCCTGAGAAATGACAGGACTGTCAAAGCTCAAGGATTTCAGCAGGTTGAATTGAGATCAGTCCATCTACCTCAGTTCCCTAAAGCAGCTTCAGGAGAATCATGCAAAAATGTAGCCAGTTGAGAGATACAAACCGATTGCTGGCATAATTCAGTTTTAAAATTTCACATTTAACATTCCAAAGTTATTGTGTGTGTAAATGAATAAACAGAAGCGTTTTAGTCATTCTTATTCAGAAAAATTAGACTAATGGCAAATTATGAGAGGAGCAATTTACAAATGTGTTTTGTTGCCTCTCTCAAGAGTTCTCAATGTGTGCATATATTTCCGTATTGAGATTGCAATGTGAAACTTGAAAATGGAATTTATACTGGAAACCTCAAAACACCTTTGAATATTTATTAGCCCAACCAACCGTTCTAAATGTAGTAAGTTACCTGCATCACACTGAGAGGCATTAAGGGCTCTGTGGTGAAGCAGGACTCCTACAATAGGCTGCGGATGCAGATTAAGATTGAGGTGCTTTGGCAAAGTTGTGAGAGAAAGTGCGATGGTGCTCAAGGGAAGGAAGAGGTAGTCTCTTGCAAGCCAACACTGTGGCTATGTCTAGACTGCAGGCTTCTTTCGAAAGAGCCTCTTTCAAAAGATCGCGTCTAGACTGCAGGCGGATCTTTCGAAAGAGAAATCCGCTTTTTCGAAAGAGAGCACCCAGCGAGTCTGGATGCTCTCTTTTGAAGACGGCCTCTTTACATTGAAGAACGCCTTCTTTCGAAAGAGGAACTTTCGAAAGAAGGCGTTCTTCCTCGTAAATTGAGGTTTACCGCCATCGAAAGAAAAGCCGCGTTCTTTCGAAATAATTTCGAAAGAACACGGCTTGAGTCTGGACGCAGGGGAAGTTTTTTCGGGAAAAGGCTACTTTTCCCGAAAAAACCCCTGAGTCTGGACACGGCCTAAGGGGCTGGCAGTCTAATTTCAAGAGGTGCTAAAAAGGTTTGAGAAGCATGCACACCTCTTCACTGCACCATGCCCATCGACGGCCGGTTCTATTAGGCACACACTAACATTTTCATAAGTGCCACATTCATTAGCCACCAGGCTGCTTACTTAGATCATCTTTTCTACAGTTCTATATTTATAATGCCTGTATTACAGTGAATAGTTATCATAGCTTACTGGGGCAGGGCAGCAAGGACACGCTGTGCTGGAACTCAGAATGCTAGTTAGAAGAGATAGTCCATTTCCTCTCTCCGTTACAACACAAAGAGGCCTTTTCCTACATGCAAGCACTTCGTTTTATGTTTGTCTTTGTGTGAGGAATTAGATGGCAAAATGAACAGTTAAAATTCAGCTTGTGAATACTCAGTAAAATTCACAGTTAAGCTTTTGGTGTTTGGAGAAACCCCATGAAAACCAGCAATAACTTTCCACAGGTTCAATGACAAACAATTCACATGTAATAGTTAATAGGTTACATCTCAGCACTCAATTACCCCCAAAATCTGGTTTAAACTTGCCAGCATTAAGAGCTCTTCAATTATAATATGAATTTCAGGAGACACGGTAGCTCTAATTCACTTGATATTAAATTTAAATTATAAGTGTTAGACAAATTAATTGCAAACAGTTCCTTTTTTTAAAAAAACCAGGACACTGACTGTACTTTGAGAATTCTCACAGTTTGGTGAGTTTCCAGTTACAAGGTCTTGGCTTCTGCTGAGCACAGTTTGAAATAAAATAATGCAGCTTGTTCCTACTGCTGGATCATGCAGAGCCGAGTGTGCAGGCAAGGAATCACTGGCTCTCGCCCAAGACTTCAAACCTGTCTTAAACTGTCACTCCAATCTCAGTGCCGTTTAGATCTATAGTTCTAAGATACTAATGCAAAGTAAGGCAAGCTCTCGCCCAGAAGAGCCAGATATGCTTTTATCTCGGACAGAGGCAAAAAAGAGAAATAGGAGAAAGATAAAGACAAAAAACACAAGCCTATTTACGAAAGAGCTTATAAAGGAAAGGAAAGTGACAGGTAAGTAAGTAATGCTTCTTTCCAGCCTACCTTACCATGGCCGGATCATGTCAACCAAGCACATAGACTCTATCATTGGGAGACCCCAACCTAACCAACTCACTCCATTCCAAATGCTGCATTTAATTCACTTTTTCCTGAAACGAACAAACCAACCAACCTACCCCACTCCTCCACACCCACAGAAATTGACTGACATCCTAGACCTGGGTTTGTAGCTCTGTTCACTCTGACTATACAGCAAAACCACAATGGTGGGTGTATATAAAAGTGTATTGAAGAACACAATGCATACGTCTGTTGATCTAATAGGTTTTCTATAATATCCGTCATTGTAGTAGTTAAGTGTTACTGGTTCTTTATGTGTTTTGGTCACAAAGGCTTGGTCTACACTATAGCAGAAGGTCAAATTAAGATACGCAACTCCAGCTACCTTAATTACGTAGTTGAAGTCAACATGTTTTAAATCAAGTTTCTGCACTGTCCATGCATTTGCTCCCATCAGCTTCCCTTACTCTTTGTGAGGAGCAAGAGTACCAGCACCGGCAGGGGCACCCTCTGAGTTCAATTTAGCGGGTTTTCACTAGACCCACTAAATTGAACCTTGGAAGACTGACTGCAGCAGCAGAGATCTTCTGCATAGTGTAGACATGGCCTAAGTTTCAAAAGTTGTTAAAATGTTCCACAGATTACACTGAATCTCCTGGTCTCATCTTCCTTTCTTAATTAGATATATTATTGTTGCCATCTGGAGATGGAACACACAAACGGTTTGTCCCGTCAGTCTTCCTCCCTCCCCTTTCCATCCTAATATGTGCATGGTACTCTTTCATGTTTTTGGTGTGTTGTTTCAGCAGTATTTTCTGGCAGTCTACAATGCAGTTCCAATCTTATACAATCAAAATCAGTCCTTCAAGAGGCCAGATAATACCACACAAAATGGAAATTGGAGCTCTAACTTCAGAAAGAGCCTTTCAAGTATTTAGTTTACAGCATTAGAAGGCAACATTTAGTTAACCATCCTCTGTTTATCATTCATAACAGAAAACAATCAATATCCATTTACAGAGCAAACAGAATGAAAACTTAACATTTCCTTTTATACATAAAATCACGATCTTATTGACTGATAAAACTTCAAATGCATAATGCTCAACTTTGAACTAAAATCAGACTGGGTTTCTGGTATTGATATGCAGCCATTTTTAGAAGAGACAGCTCTTTGGAGTGCGCAGCAGCTTTCATCTTTCAGATGCTTGATGGCGCCTAAGTAGCATTAAGCCTATGTCTTATCAAACAAAATTGCAAAAAAATGTGGTTCTCTAACATGTTCTAGCCCACCGTCTGGGTTTATCAAGAGAAGGTCACCAGACGTTCTGTCTGAAAGTATCATTTATCTATTTTTCTCTCAAATAAGGGTATGAAAAGAGCCTCACTGCCATGGTATAAATGTTGTTATACAACATCTGTATCAAGAGAAAAAACTTTTTCCATTCAAGCACTTGACAGCCCAGAGAACTCCAAAAAAGTCACCTTTGCCAAGCACAACCATACATTTAAAATTCTGTACATAGACATACATACACACAAAACACACCATTTTTTTAGCCAGAAATCAGGTATGCTTAATACATCCAGACTGTACATTTTCTTCCCCCGTTCTGCAATTCCCTGCTTCAGTCTGCTTATGCCAATGTACATAATGAATGTACAGCTATTAATGATTTTTGTATTTCTCATTATTTCTTAGTATGTCTTCAGTGCCTCATCTCTGCTTATAGTGTCTTTTGCAATAGGGAAGTACTCAGAGGACTGACCCATTGTTGTATTTGCTTATACAATAAATCCAACTTTAGCACAATATTCCTGCCACCCTACAAACAATTGCAACTCTGTGATTATTCAAATTCTAGGTATCCCAGATGACATAACGCATGACTGGCAGTTTTTAAAATGAACTGTCAAGAGAATATTCTGAAATTTACTTACAGTGCTCAATTTACTACAGCAGATGAGGATGCGGCGTTCATATAGCATACTAGCGTAGAGATGCAGCATGTTGTTGACATCGACAGCTACAAAATACTCTGTCAGATTTCTCTAGGAAAAAAGATGAGAGAGAGGTTTTAGAGAAAAACTTTACCGACACAAACATCTTAAAGATAGATGAGAATTCAGACTTCATCCGTAAATTACACACCCAGAAAGTGACCTGGAGGAAGAAAACAATAGGTCAGTCCAAGTCTGGGGTGATTTTGCTGCTACAGCAGGTGTTTAGTTTGTTATTTATTAATTCATGTTCTCAAATGATCAGATTTCAGAAAGTTACACAGCGTAGTGTGGTTTCCCTCTCAAGTCCTGCAACTTAAAATATGGAAAAAGAAGACTTTTTGGTAAGGGGAATAGGTTCTTTCGTGCACACAAAATATATTCCTGAAATCTGACAGTAGCCACAAATTACTGCTACTGCAAAGTTCATATTCAACTAACTGAAATTAGTTGATCATATAAAAATTTGCTAATGGAACAATTTACTCCAGAGCAACTGTGATGAGGAATATACCAGAAGCATTTAAAATACAATCCAGAAATCATTGCACTGATATTCAGCATGCATGCAGTATTTTGTGAACAGTGATACTCCCATCCTCTGAGAAGTAGAATCAGAAAGCATCCCTATGCCAAAGATTGGGAAACTGAATCAGGAGAGGAGAAGCATCGTCTTTCCAAGGTTACAGAACATGTCCATGTAAGAGACAGAATTAAAACTTGAATGGCCAATTTCCAGTCTAATGCTCAGCCTATGTATTTATTTTGGCTTATACAACAGCAAAACCCTATCCAGCCCCTGCGTGTGTGTTAAATATTTAACTCAGAGTGAAACATTGGATGCACATCTCTCACAAACACAAAAAGGATGAGCAGAGCCACCGCTCCTAGGCCTCTATCCCTCTGTTGCAATGTCTATTGCTGGATGTAAGGTGAATGGCAGGAGAGGTTACGCACCTTTTGCAATAAATAGAGTTATTTGAAAAGTATGACCCTATCGATGAGCCATTTCAGATCTATTTGCACCCAATGCACCTTTGATCAGAGATTTTTTGGCAGTAGTGCCCAGTCAGCCCACACATGCACCTCGCACATCCTTGTGTCTTGTACTAAGGATATATAGGGGTATGCGAGCCAAGTGCCCTCGGCTCCTTTTCCACTGCAAAGTCTCCCAGGAGAAACTCTGAAGCAGAGGGGAAGGAGGGCTGGCAGTACAGCCCCCACAAGGAGAACTCCAGTTATTGCATAGAAAGAGTAATTTCTCCTTATTCAAATACTGTCCTTATGGGTAATCCTACTTGGGCTTGTTTATCATCTTCAATATTGGGCGAGTGGGTGGAAATGCTTATGGAAGACTCCTTTTCTATGGACTCAAGAAAGCATTTCCCCAAGTGTAAGGGTCAAACCTCTCACTCAAGCAAACTGTCTGCACTTCCTGCCAGTGATGGTGGCAAAGAGATCCACCTCTGGAAATCTCCTAGTCTGAAAGTCCAACTCCCATTCATAAGCACTGGAGAAGTGTCTGCTGGAATTGTGAGCTATAGCGTTGTGCAAGTCTGGAATGTAAGCTGCTGAAGCGAGGCTGTGATTGGCTACACACTAGATCCATAGCTTTGCTGCTTCTGTATAAAGGGCGCCCCGGTGGTTCAATGGACATAGAACACACAGGTTGCTTCCTTCTGTCCTGATTGTGATGGATTTGTCCCTGATTAATGGAAGGAAGTGCAAGCAGACATTTCTGACAAGTCTCAGCTCTAGGAAACTGAGAAGTAACCGACCATCTTCACTGAATGGCGTGTGTAGCTAAATGCGCCACCCACATACTCATTTGTTTTCATGACTATGGTTGGATGACAGGAATGCAGGCACAAATGTTGTCTGGGTCCTTCCACCAACTGAAAAAAATCTGACTTACTAAGGGACTGAGATCAGCCTGTTCAACCTGCTTTAGTTTGGAGCAGAAATCCAGCCTAAGCCATCCCAGGAAACAGCAAAGCAGCTACCGGGCAAGCTGTGTCACAAAAAGCACAAGCCGCTAGTCACTGTAAATAATTTCCTTTGGATGTCTGTGGGCTGGTTTGAATGTTTTAGATGAGGACTGTTCATGACATCTATCTGGCCACAAGAAGGTAAGCTCCAGCTGATACTGCATCTAAGGAGGCCCCTATGAATTCTATCTTTAGCATGGGGCTCTGAGTGCATTTTTCAAGATTGAGCTGAAGACCTAGCCTGGGAAACATGGACATTGCTCTTTAGGGCAGAGAGAACCTTGATGTAATACTGGAGCTTCAGCAGCCAATTGCCAAAGTATAGAAAAACGATAATCCTCATTCATCAAAGATGAGCTACAACCACTTCTAAGATTTCAGAAAATACCTTTGACACAGAAGAAAGGCCAAAAGGAAGCACTTACTACTGGAAGTGGCCTAGAAGGACCAGGAATTGAAGGACTCTCTTGTGAGAAGTACGAGTTGGGACATGCCAAAATGTGTCCTGTAGGTTGAGGGCCTAAAGCAAAACCATGGTTCCATATATGGAATTCCAGCTGCCAGATGGAGTCTAGACACCACCACTCTGAATGTGTATGTTTTCACAATGTTGTCTAGCATCAGTCTCCATCCCCCATTCTTTTTTTGGAACAAGAAAATGCTTGGAGTAAAATTCCCTCTCCTTGTATAGATCTGGAGCAGATTCTATAGCTACTGTCTGTAGAAAGGAGTAGGGATGTAAGCGACTAGTTGACTACCCGATAATCTTATGCTTATCAGATAGTCAAGTAATGACTCCCACACTTGCTGCCTCTATCAGAGAGAGGAAGCAAGGGGAGGCAAAAAGGAGTGGGTGCTTCAAAGCAGCAGGGCTGCATTCCAGCACTGTCGGGAGGGAGGCAGAAGCGCAGCGGGGAGATGGGTGTAAGCAGTGAATCAGCTGATTTCCAGCTCATGCCCAGTCCCAGATGTTGTACCTCTGCTTTTTAAATGTATTAAATGTATTAGGAGCCCCAGCTTGCACCGTTCCCCCACCTCTGCCTTTTAAATGTATTAAATGTACTAGCTCCTGGACTGGGAGCTAACTCCGCTGCGACTCTGCAGTTTCCCCCTTTATCGACTAATCAGTCAATGGAAAGTCCATCGATTACTCGATTAGCTGATTACATGCAATTCAACATCCCTAGAAGAGAGTCAACTTCCAGTGTCAGCAAGTGCTTGTGAGAGTTGTCCCTAAAAAGGGACAGACCTGGGTGATTGGCTGGGGAATAGATAACCCCAGGTTATAGCCTCCAACATCCATTAGTCAGATCTAATCTGTTCGGAGGCATCCCTTTTCACCTGCCTGATGATTCTGTCTCTTTTCTGTGTAGTTTTATGAGAAACAATCCCATTCCAGGAACATCCCATTTTCCTGGTGCAACCAAACACTTACTTTGCATTAAGTAACAAGAAGAAGCAACTGAATACCAAATTTGGTGGTCCTAGCTCTTACTCAGGAGGGGTTCTTGAACCGACGGACAGACTCCCAAACATATAGCAGATAAAGGAATCGTAGGTACTGCCCTTTTATAAGTAGAGTCTTTAGGCTCCTTTGTTATTGTGCTTCCTCTGTGGTATGGAGGAGGGTCTTGGTTCCAAGGGCGTGGTGCCTTTCTTCCTTAGATTAGCTCAGAGCCCCAGGTGCAGGATTTACACCAACAAAGCCTGGATACTCAGCAAGTACCCAGTACGGAACTCCAATATGGTCTTACTTTGAGGAGACTGAGGCTTTCTTGAAGAGGACCCTTTAAGAGAAGAGTCCTTCAGGGTTCTCTGCGGGGCAGGTCTGGGTGAACATGCAGATGTGAAAACAGCATTATGCTCACTCAGAAGCCAATGTCCCATCCTGCCAGCATCTCTCAGCCTCAATCTGAGACCAGACAAAGCAAAGTCAAAGTTTTCTCTCATAGTTCTGCCTCTGAATCCTGAACAGACTGGACAATTTTGAGGGATTTCTGTTTCTCCCAAGCAGCATATACACCAGGAAAGCTCTTCACTGACTGGGATGGTTTCCTGGCAAGCAAGGCAATGTTTGAAACCCAGAGAGCCTGGCCTACCTTGAGACAATGGAGACCACGAAAGAATAGAGCCCCAGTAGGAGGGAAGGGATTACAAAAGCAAACCCCTACTACAATCAAAACTAAGGACAGAATTAATATAAGGATAAGGAAAAGAAAGAAAAGAATAATTAAAGTAAGGGATACCTTTTTACAGTGAAGCAGGCACACTAGTGCGCCATCCGAGGCCGGGGTGGTTCAGAAGAAACTGAGGCCTGTGCAACCTTATATATTCTCAGTATTGGGCACGAGGATGCCTAGAGTGCATTTCTGGGCAATGCCACCAAAATCTTCCATCAAAGGCACATGGGACACAAGTGTGCCTGAAGCAGAGCACTCCTAAGGACACTACTTAAAGAACAACAGATCAGCTAGAGGCAGGGCTCCTCAAACTGGTAGCCAAGCCTAGATCCATGAAGATCCAGAGCTAAGTCTCTGGCATGCTTCTTGCAGGAACACCAGCACAGCTCTTCTCCATGCTGCTGCTCAGGTTACAGCTAGGGTTGCCAGGTGTCTGGTACTGACCCAGACAGTCCGGTATTTTTGCCTCCTGTCTGGTTAAAAAAAAAAAATCAGAAAATACCGGACACCTAAAATGTCGGGTATTTTCTGATTTTTTTCCCCCCTGCCAAGAGGCGAAAATACCAGACACCTGGCAACCCTGCGGACACACTCAGCAACTGAGCCCAGCCCTCAGAACCTCCACCACACTCCCGTCACTTACTTGGTTCCACAGGGGCTTGTCTTGTGTCTGGAGCAGAAAAACAAAATGGCCACCAGCAAAAAAAGCTTTTTCTTAAAGGGGCCATGCTGATATTTTATTTTTTTTGGTTCATAACTGCTGTTGGGGTCCCCTCCCTTTTCCCCCCCCCTCAACAACTTTGGTCTCCCCTCCCCCCTCCTTTTTTCCCCCCTCAATAGAATTTTTTCCCAGTTTTTTTTGGGGGGGAGGGGGGGGAGGGAG